TAACTAAAGAAGTAAAGCAAACAATTATCTCTTCTAGTTGTGACCTTTGTACTCGGTTGCTGCTTGATGTAGGTTGCTAGGCCTTTAACAAATTTGCACATGGATGATATGAAACAAAATATTTTTTTTAGGTTTTATATATATATACATATATATACACACATTTGAATAATTAAAAAATCATATAAATTACTACATTAATATCATAGAATTCTACTATAATTTATCAAACTTAGTAACTAAGATGTATTTTAGTCTAAAAAAATATGAAATTTGGAGCAGACTAAAGACACACCCTACCTCATTACAATATTGGTTCAAAAGAAAGAAATTGTGCCAAGACTGTTAAAATGGCTGAGAGAGCCAGTAGGGGACATTATGAACTTCTGATTGGTTATTCATGTCATATATAGAAATAAGTTTATATAAGTAAGCATTTCCAAAAATGGAAAGTGTTGGGTGGAGTGCCACTGTGTTTGATTTAGTATATGAGCAATATCTCAGCAACTTGAAAAGATAAGAGGCTCTTATTTTATATTCTAGCTTGTCAATATTGGTAATTTGAGTTTCTAATTTGTATGAAACTACAGACTTAGTATTTAGACTTCACAAACATCTAATTTGAAACAGTGCTACATTCAGCATACCACGTGTCACAGGAAAATCAATGTTTATCTGTGTTTTTTAATATTTGCTTTTACATTAAGAAATTGAGTAATATATAATACTAAAATTTGATTTATAATCTACAGGTTAATACCAAAATTATTGACATAAATTCATGAAATAGTAGTTCAATAAAATTTTGAATGCAACTCAACAAATGAGATGACATGGCCTTTCTCCCATGACTCGTCTCAAAAGGGTTAAACATGGCCCTAAATCTTTAATGTTTTGGCACATAGAATTTAGATATTGGTATATTAATTTTAGTAAGTGTTCTCTGATTTCTTTTGAGGTTTATAAGTGAAAACCCATTTTTTTGAAAATAAAATCTAAGGTAATAAAGAAATATATGATTTGTTTTCATATTATTTAGGTGTCAACAACAAAGGAAACATTTCAGGATTTATCTCTACCAATTCCAGGTCGTGACCACATTTACATGTTGCATTCTTCCCTTAGTAATCAACAGAAAGGTGGTGTAGCATGTACTGATGCTTACAACAGCAAAGGATGGTTTAACTGGTTATTTGGATGGATGTTTGGGTAACTGAAACTTTTCTTTAAGAATAAACTATTAATTTTTTATACAAAGTACTTTCAACTATCAAACTGAATAAACTTCTCGTGTCTTTCTTCAAAGTTCAAAAATGAAAATGAGAAATTTTGTACCACATTCAGACATTCTAGTAGCAGATACTCGTGTGTTTTGTGTATATTTATGTGCATTTTACACATAAACACACATGTATATTAAAGAGTTTTATGTTAATCATCTCTAATGAATAATTTTATTAAACTATGAAATAAATATTGACAACTTTTTGTTGTTGTTTTTTTTTCATGATGCACCAAACAAAATTGTTTGAAACACAAAAGGTTAAAACAATTTCATTAAGACCAAATTATTAAAACCCTGCCATGTGTTTAGACACATTCAATCTGTAGTGTGTTCCTTACTGCCTAAACTGTTTTAACGTTTTGTGTTTTAAACTTAATTTTGTTGGATGTGTCAGTATAAAAAAAAAGTTGTTAATGTTATTTACCCAGAATTTTTAAACTCATCTTTTATATAAACAAAATAATTACTTCTCCCCCTCTAACTTCTATCATTGCAGTAAACTTCTGTTTAGCAAAAGCTGAACTTGTGTATATAATGAAAAAACTATATATATATTATAGAAATCCAGTGCTAGTATTTAAATTCTCAATTATTAACTGTTTCGTAGCAGCAAATTGTTTGATTACGTTCTGTCCTGAAAATGTGTGGTACACCAACAGTGAGTTGAACTTGTTTACTTTTAGATAACTTTTCTTATATGTGTTGATCAAAGAAGAAATCAGTTGATAATTAGCATAACATGAGAAAATTCACAATAATTATATTGTAAAAACAATAGGATTTTGTTTTGAAGCCATTTAGTGCTGCTATAGTACTTGAATATGCAGACTTACCCTTTTTTCTAATACCGATAACTTGGGTATATAATTGTGTTTTTCCTGGAGGCTATCAGAAAAGCTTTTGAATCTCATGAAGAGTTAGTTTATTGAATACTTAAGAGTTGTTACACGGATTATAAGGCTGTTTGAGGAAAATGAACTATTCTGCATTCTATTTAGCTGGTTCTGGGGCCCAACAGTGAGCTTGCTTGACTGTCTAGCAGCCTTCTTCTCTGCAGATGAGCTGAAAGGAGACAACATGTACAGTTGTGAAAAATGCAAGAAACTACGGAATGGGATCAAGTACTCAAAAGTCCTACAGTTACCAGAAGTATGGTTCTGACGTGAAACTTTAGAATCTCCAAAGATTTATTTAACACTTGGATTAGATATTTTGATGTTCATTGTTACTAGAGTTACAATGAAACTGGAAGTGCATATAAAAGATGTATACTGTTTTTACTTTAGGCATGATTGTAGTTCTTAAAGTTTATTATGCACTGATGTAACAGTTTATAAAGTAATATTTGCTCCAAAAATTGAAGTTTGACACATATTTTGTTAATTTATGCTTCTGTCAAGAGATTTTAATTGATGATTTAGTGACGGTTATGGTAGAATGCATTTATGAAATAATTTGTTTAAGCTCTTTGACTTAAGCAAATGATATGATTGTTTAAACTCAGTGTTAAGGTATTTCTATTGCATCAGTTATTTTTTATTTACCTCAGGTTTTATGTATTCATCTGAAACGTTTCCGTCATGAGGTGATGTTCTCTTCTAAAATCAGTAGCTTTGTGTCATTTCCACTAGAAGGTTTGGATATGTCGCCTTTTCTTCACAAAGGTAGGTGATGTAGGTCATTAATAGTTTTGTTTTTTATTCATATTAACTTATTATGTTTGTAATTCATCAATCCAATTAGTTCTATCTTAGCAATGCAGTAGTATTAAACTTTTTCACTACCATCAGACTAACATATAGACTTTCAGCCTGTTTTTACTGTGTAATTCAAGTACCTAGATTCTGCTGTAGCTGTTATGTGTTACTAGTAGTAAACTTTTTCACTACCATGAGACTAACATATAGACTTTCAGCCTGTTTTTACTGTGTAATTCAAGTATCTAGATTTTGCTGTAGCTGTTATGTGTTACTAGTAGTAAACTTTTTCACTACCATGAGACTAACATATAGACTTTCAGCCTGTTTTTACTGTGTAATTCAAGTACCTAGATTTTGCTGTAGCTGTTATGTGTTACTAGTAGTAAACTTTTTCACTACCATGAGACTAACATATAGACTTTCAGCCTGTTTTTACTGTGTAATTCAAGTATCTAGATTTTGCTGTAGCTGTTATGTGTTACTAGTAGTAAACTTTGTAATATGTGATATATCTAATGCAGACTGCCCTAGAGAGACTACAACTTACGACCTAGTTGCTGTCATCTGTCACCATGGAACAGCAGGCTGTAAGTTTTTGATTAGTTTCTGATATCTTTATAAGTTACACTATAAGTCTAACATTCGATAAGATGTTATTTTTCAAAATTCAAACCTCTACTGATTCTCATGATTATTTATTTTACACTTACTTCTTTGCTTGACTGTAATATAAATACGTATATGGTACGAGATCTCAGGCATCTAAAATGTTGATATAATGAATATGTCTAGCTACAATTTGTAGGCCTTCATTCTCATAGGGTTTGGACCCTGTGGCAATTAAATCAAGTGGCAAGTCTTTTTTTCTTATTATTATTATACATCTTCAAGAACACTGCTGTCAGATTATTATAATTGTTTGCATAATCTCTTGAAATGTTTACATGTTCTACAGTAATTCCTGTACACTGAATCCGAAAATGATATCCATTTTTCTCCATCACGTATAGATTTTTCACAAAACGTCATATGTACTTTTAAATAAGTGAATCATTTTCATTGAAATCGGGTCACATTTTGTTATGCTTAAAATGTTGAAAACCACTGGCTATAGATTTATATAGACCAATCACAACTTCAGTTTTATCGATCGTTCTAGAACCAACGAGAAACACACCGCCAGTAAATATACTAGCCACATCATGTGTCATTTCTGGAGAGTATTTGAATGTGCGTGCACTTTGACATTATTTTTTCTTTTCAATATTATTTATTTGTTGCTATGGCAACAAAAGGTTGTGTAAAGGACCCAAATGTATTCTGTTATAGTTGTTGTAAATTTGATCTAAGTAAAGAGTTTTTTTTCATCCCAATTTGTAAAAAATCCTTACATGATAGAAAATAATGAATATTGTTTTCGAAATTTACATTGCTGAATTATGGAAAATCCATTATTAAACCAAAACAACTTTTATGAAGTTTAAATTTGCAGGCCTGTGTAACCTTTCCAAAGTTAAAATACATTACATCTTACTGCTGGAGTGCGAGTCCCCCAGTTATTACTCTGGAATGTGAGTTTGATTTCTCCATTTTACATGTTTAATATTTGTTTTTATTATGTGCTGATTATTGAATTTTAACACTAAAGTAATCAAGAATGGGGATAAGCTGGTATACTATGCTAGCTTATTTAGATGTTGCAGTTAATCTATTTTATTACACAGTTATTTAAATCACCATTATCAGAGTATTACAAGTCAGTAGTAAATAATGTTTATGTCACAATGAAAACAGAACTATTATTTCAGAGTATTATTTTAACTTCTTAAACTTCTAACTTTTCATAAAAAAATGCAACACTGATTTTCAATTCAGGTGGACACTACACAGCTTATGCTTTGAATTACCTTAATGACCATTGGTACGAGTTTGATGATCAGTATGTAACAGCAGTAGATCCTCAGGTTGTACAAAACTGTGAAGCCTACGTCTTGTTCTACAGGTACTGTATTTGAAGAAAATATGTGTACAGGAGTTATTGCCAGAATAGACGTATCTTACTACCTGACAGTTTTACAATATTAAAAAAGAGCAGTTCATAAAAGGTTTTATGTAAGTTATATATATAGAATATTTGTTGGATACACCAACAAAAGCTTAGTTATTCACCATATTTTAACATGAAGTTTTCATGTGTTATGGCACATAATTTTAACCATTAACAACTGTAAAATTTAACATACATGTCAGTTTGTGTAATTTTCATAGTTTAAGTATTGTTAATTTACCTGAGTACATACATTTGCTTTATAAAATGAAGAGGCAGAAACAAGGCTAATATGATTTTGAGTGCAGTTGCATGTGATGTATATAATGCTTCATTATCAAGAGGAAATCCTCAATAGCTGCAGTACTTGAAATTCCTTTAGGTAGGTTAAAGTAACTTAATCTATGAGACCTTTTTTTTATTTTCATTGGCTCTATTTTTGTGCACCAGCAATACCAAGTTTGGGACTCGTGTATACCCGATTCAATTTTATTACTCATCAGGATATCTACCAGCCTACCCTCAGATTTGAATTTTTATAGGAAGGATTAGAGTAAGTTAATCAATGAGATTTTGGGCTTGGTCAAATATATCAGTCAAAAGGGTTTGACCTGCTGTGTCCAAAACTGTAATTAGAACTCAAATCGGTCTAGAGATGACGGAGCTATGAGCTAAAAGTTTGTACTTGAAACACTGAGAGCCATTCTAAGAGCCCCAATGCCTCGGCTAAAAATCATAACTTCTTTGTCTAAAATAAAGCTCTTTTTGCAACAAATCCTGTATATATATATATATATATAAATTTAGTTTTTTTGTGATCTAATGATAAACCATGAACCAGGTTTAAGTAATCTACTTCATTGAGCTGCTTAAGTCATTTCAGGATTTTAATTATGTCATGGTTACATTTACATATTTGATATAGGTATTTTTTGATATATCTGAAGCATATTTAATAATGTCCTATCTGTATCTGCTATTATGAATCCAATATTTAAGAATTATTGCTTGAAAGTAGTAAATTATAAAAATGTAAAAGATTGTTTGAAAAATATGTAAGTGAAAGTAAAACAGGAGAAATGGAATTAAGAAATGAGTCAAAACTACAAACGTTTTTCTGTTTTCAACTAGTTAATGCAATAGATCTTAATGAGCTTTTCAGTATCAAGATAAACTAATTCTAGTTACATGTTAAATTAATTATGTTATGTTATTATGTTGTGTGTTGAATACTTAAATTTATGGTGTTTCCATTTTCCTTACTTTGCAGAAAATCGTCAGAAGAAATAGTTAAAAAGCGACAACGTGCAGTGGAATTAATGGAAAGAAGTAAGAATGAGGTACATATAAAGTTGTATATTTATCCACTTTTATTTTTAAATCACCTAATAAAAACAGTATTAAAACATGTATGTTTTAATCAAAATGATAATTATTCCTTTTGTTCTTCTCTCCAATATATGAAGGTTTGCATAAAAGTCATCATATCTAAAACACACGTACATCATACAAATGGCATGATAACTGTAGAACTTTTTATGATATAAATTTGATTTTTTTAGTTAATATAAGATTTATAATACATTAAAAACCATTGAAAAGCATAGCTATTTACTTCACCATTACACACAACCTATGTAACCATTTACCTCAATGTTTTCATACATATACTGTAGTAGGCTGAATGACATCATGTGCTAAGTGACTTTGTTGAAAGAAACGGTGCAATAAAATATCATCTAAGTCGTTTAAACTAATCAACTACTTTGTTTTATACTTAACACTTATCTATGGCCTCTTCCTTTTTGTAATTTGTGTACATGTGTTCAAAAGAGAATAAACTCTGTTATGATCTCTACTTTTGCTCAGTGGGCAAAAAAACAAAGCTAGTGTTCACGTAGGCCTTAATTTACAGAACTTATGAGTTAAAGTAAACAAACTTAACATCTAATGCAATTACTTTAGTAAACACAAAAGGAAACTCATAAAGTTAACTTACTACCTTTCTGTGGCATGCAAATAATAGAAGACCAATACTAACTTACAAGTCAAACACTCCACATACTTTAAGGTACCTTGAAAAAAGTAAGAAACTTTATAATCTAATGTAACAACACAAGGAAAGAAGAGAGCTCTATAGTAGATAGATTGTGAAAAAGAAAATAATCCCAGTTTTAGATTATATTTTTTAACTTCAGGAACTTGAAAATAGTCAAATGAAAACATGTTATTTGTTGAATGTTACAGTTCTGGACATCACCAACTTCAAAAATTCACTGTTTTCATATTATTTGAGCCAAAAATGTGCCTCAAACAAGTGCAAAGTTTACAGATTCGTTGTTTAATTTGATCTACTGACAACTTGTATTAGAGCAGATGAAAAATTTAACAATTTCTACCATCTCAATAATAATAATTGCAACAGGAGAATTAAATTGAAGATTAAGGCTAACAGTTTTGATTTTTTTAAATTACCGTATCCAAAAAAAATTATTTAACTTTCATCAAAAGAAAATTTATAATCTCAACATTTCAGTTCTAATTTTATTTTGGAGCTAGTTTGAGGAGCTAGATCACAATTTTTCAAAACATGATGTCATTGTGTGTCTGTAAAAACCCAAGATGGAAAGGGTTAAGATGTGAATACTTTTTTATTTTTTTAACCGACTGTGAATATTTATTTTATATTATTTTTCTTAACAGCCAGGATTACTACACTTCTACATTTCTAAACAGTGGGTTAACAAGTTTAACACATTTGCAAATCCTGGACCAATCAGCAACTCTGATTTTCTCTGTCCTCATGGAGGTATTGACACTGCTTTCTTACTCCTGATTTGAGAAAAATAAATTGTAAACAGTTTTCTCAATCACATGATTAGTACCTTATATGCTCACCTAAGACTAACTATTATTATTTTATTACTGGACTTTAATTACAAATTAGTTTATATCCTGTGTGTGTGACATACTATTAATCTGCTCTTGTCTTCATGGGAATTTTGAGAAGGACTGGGATTTGATCATGGATGAAAAGATGGTTTGCTATCCACTCATCTGGGGTCTTTTCCAACAAAAACTCCTAGAAATGAATCGTGACCCCTGTCATGATATATATATATATATATATAGGACTTCTCTAAAGATAGCAGCCAAAACATAGGATATAAACTAATTAGTAACTAATAATTATAAAATATTTCTAACTAATTAATTATTAGTTTTAGTTGATCGTGTAAGTTACTAACTGTGACAATGATATTGAATCACCACAACCTTACTATAAGTAGTTAAAAGTTTTTGTGGTCGAGTGAGAGGAGAAGCATGATAAACTTACTTTTAATCAATATTTTATTCTCTGTTTGGCCAAATAATGATGAAAAAGTACAGTAAAAAGGTTAATAGTTTTATATAAAATTACAAATTGTAATGTTTTTGAGTATTTGAAAACTACATCAATTACAAATATATATAACTTTTAGGTGTACATCCAAGCAAGGCATCTTTTGTGGAGGAGCTGTGTACAGTCTTATCTCAGTCTGTTTGGGAATACCTGCATGATACGTGAGTTTTATTTCTTTTGAGAAGAAATATTATTAGAACAGAAATTATTTTTTTATGGACAGTAACTGCCTTAAGAATTTTGACTCTGACATATGTGTTTGAAACTATACTGATACGTACTTCAGGCCCTAGTGAGCAGTACTTCTTCTAATGTTTAGCATTTAGGGCTGCAGATCAAAGGGTCATTCAGATCATGTAAGTATGTTATAAAAATGACAAACAATCCTGTAATGCTGTTCAAAAACTGAACAAAGCCTCTGTGGCAACAGGTGCTGTTGGTTGGCTGTGACTACATGTGCATGACGTGCTGTTCGGGTTAAAGTTTCATTTCCATTTTAGGATTAGTGTGAAGCTCCAAATGCTGTTAAGGTTGAAAATTTCCCAACATCCCGACAGTAACTGTTAATAAAACATTCTGTGATGACTTTACTAACTAAAAGTTCCTTATTATACCAAAAAATATGTATTATACAAATATACATATGTGCTGTTATGTACAAATACCTGTTTTTAATAATATTGTTGTATATGTTTATATAAATATACACGCTTTCTTCCACTGTCTACGTGACAGCAGTCTTTGTTTTTCTGTTTTCAATTTTAATATAACTCACTGAAAATTTTAACAGAAGTAGATATCACTTAAAGGTATGTCTCTTTTCTTTTTCACTCTAACCTACACTTAGAATACAGTTGCATACAAAAGAAGTAATATAATTCTGAAACATGCAAATAATTGTTTTTCTCCATAACTGTGAATAATTTGTGTACTTATTTACAAGTTACTGATTTGCTTTATTTCATAGAAAAATTTACATAATTGGTCTTATATGCTTATCTTTATTATGGTATATTTAGTTCTTGTTTATTTGTTTACTTTTGACTGTTTTAATTTTATTTCCTTTTTCTGTAGCACTTCCTGGTGGGTATTTAAAAACAAAGGACTTAAATAATTTGATATTTTCTCATCGCTCTATAAACTTTTCTATAATCAATTGATTTTAAAATCTTTATTTTTATTAATTTTATTAATACAGGATTGCCATGGTTTTAATAAAACTACTTCAACTTGCAATCTGAAGGCCCCAGGTTCGAATCGCCTTCACTGAACATGCTTACCTTTTCAGCTGTGGGGGTGTTATAATATGATAGTCAATCCCACTATTCGTCAGTAAAAGAGTAGCTTAAGAGTTGATTAGCTTCCTTCCCTCTAGTCTATCACTGCTAAATTAGGGATGGCTAGCACAGATAGCCCTCGTGTAGCTTTGCATGAAATTCAAACCAAAAACAAAACTACTGAAATTACTAAATTGTCAACCAAAGAAGAATCATTATTGTGAAAACTCAGTATTTTAATTACAATGCTATTAAGAAAAATTTATTAAAGTGTTGTTCTTTTATATATACTGGCCTGATATTTTAAAGTTTTATTGTTTGTTCTTTCTTTCAGCTATCTTTGATTCACATCTCAGGGATAAAAGGAAACTCATTGTTTATGCGATAAAGCCTTGAATTCAAGAGTAAAATCATGATTTTTATTCTCATCCTTGTAAAAGTTTTGTCAAATTAAATTTTCTTACGTAGGACATTTTCTAACAACGTTTTCATTACCATGTTTTATTCTGTTGATATGTAGTTTTGGAGGAGGTCCAGCCTGCACTCATCTATATGTGTGTCCTTGCTGTTTGGCAGATCAAGAAAGCTTAGATCGTCGACGTACACAAGAACATGATACTTTTGTAGCTGTAAGTGAGAATTTCATAATATTCCTTTAAAAGAAACCTTTTTTGCCAAAATAAAATTATGGAAAATATACACAAGTGAACTACAGTTTGTGCTCTCATTATGACACTATTTGCATGTGTGTAATTGGTTGAGTTTTAAAAACTAGTTATTACTTCGTATAACCATGAAAAGTTTGTTTTTTCATCATATACCAAGAGCTTTCTCACTGACATTACTTGTGTTTAAAGCTCTCCAAAATGTGGGAGATTTAATCACAAGGAGTATTATTTCCACTACAGATTTTGATTTGCCATGTGTGAATGTAAAAGAAATGGGTTGTATCTGTGCTGGCTCAAGTTAAAGTGTGGCTTCTCTCATGTTTACACATGGTACTTACAGATTTTCAGCACTGATAGAAAATGTTTTGAACAACCAAAACGTTTGTATAAGAAGATTCTTGGTTTTGTTAAGCATAAATGACACTACAAAGTTTTTTTTTCCTTGGAATTTTTAATGTTTAATTGGAAAGGTTTTTACTTGTAATTTAATGTAAACATTTCTGTTATTTATGCAGAATCATTTATGAACAATGTTACTGTTAGAAAAGGCAGAAAAATATAATATATTCAACAAAACATACTCTTCAAATTAAAAAATAGCATCACAATCAAAGAACCAGACAACCTTAGACAATAATAGAGCAACATAAAATAAAGAGAAAAACATGAAAAGCATCTTTATTTTTTAACAAATATGTACATAAATGCAGAATATATATATATATATATATTTGTTAATGTTATATAAAAAAATGTTTGGACTAGTAAGATCATTTGGGTGTGGTAGAGTTTATGGCATAACTTAAAACACTGTATTATTTTATTGTGGTTATCTGTTGAACATAACTTTAAAATAGTTAAAACATTGTTCCTAAAAAATCCTGAAAGAAAGTATATCACTTTGTTTTTCGTTAAACACAAATTTATACGATGCACTTTCTGTGCTCTGCCCACTACAGCTATCCAAACTTGTTGTTTTTTTGTGCATCATAAACTATTAAACTGTTGGTTTTTTTTGTGTCATAAACTATTAAACTGTTGGTTTTTTTGTGTCATAAACTATTAAACTGTTGGTTTTTTTTCGTCATAAACTGTTAAACTTTTTTTTGTGTGTCATAAACTGTTGAGTCACTAATGTACATCATCACTTTGATTTTTGACTAAAGCAGTTGCATGCTAGTTCACTTCTCTTAGGTTTGATGTTTGCATTGCATTTTTGAACTGGTATTTAAAGAATCCCATTTGACCCATACCTGATTAAAAATAATAATAAAATCTAAAATGAGAGAAACATAATGTCAAAATATCTTTAATAATTTATGATAGAACTTGTTTAGATTAGTCTAAAATTTCTCTATTAAATGTGCTACATTGCAGTCATGTCATATACTTTATCTTACCTAAAATATTCTAACTTCAGTTAAACAAGGAGTTTCAAGCTTTAGAGTCCCCATCTGTAGTATATGCCATCAGCATGAGTTGGTTTAAACAGTGGGAAAGTTTTGTTCGGGCTAAAGAGAACGGTAGGTACAAGACTATCTTCTTTCCTTTTAACATAAGGGTTATAGATTCGTCATTAGGTTCTACTGTTTTCTGAAGATGTAAGTTGTTTATATTTCTTTTTTAATACCATTTAAGTTTCTGTAATGAAATTTGTAACTTTAATGTTGTTTGTAAAAAATTTTTGTTCAGTTGCTTATAATTTTAAGAACATCTAACTTAATTGATTTTTTTTATGAACTTAATACTGTATAATGAATATTTTAATGGGTTTTTCAGAACCACCTGGTCCAGTTGATAATTCTTCAGTTTGTGTGATGAGGAATAACCAACCTACTTTAAAATCAGGTAAGCCGTAATTAGTCTTGCACTGTTAGTTTTATGTGTTGAAATTCTTACAAGTAGTTTGAATGGTATTACAGGTTACTTTGTAATGAATAAATTAAACACAGTGCTCATTAACCACATAAGTTATTATAATACATATAAGCTACACAATAAAGATAAAAGCAAAATAACAAAAAATAAGGCATATTTAAAAGTTCTGATCTTTATTAATATTATACTGTAATGTTATTTCTAGCATGTGTCTGTGTTTTTTCTTTCCTTATACAGGTTCAGATTACGGTTCCCTGTCAGAAGAGATGTGGAGGTTCCTTTACAACATATATGGTGGAGGTCCTGATATCATTCTTCAACAGAATATTCCAACGATGTCAACAACATCACAACCTACTATTTCCCGTCCTATGGGTTCAGGATCAATGACTGGGGTATACAGCTCCCCATCTCTCTCAACCAAAACAACCATATCTAATCAGATGGTTCATACAGGGTCAGCACCTTCCTTGAATACTTTGACCACTGTTAGACCCTCAGGTAAGTGACCTGTAATCTTTCTCAATCAAATAAACTACCTGTGGCTAAGTGTCCTGTACAGGATTAACTCCCTTTTTGAATAAATCATACATTAATCACTGTCAAGCCATTAGATAAGTGAATCCATTCTCCTTCTTAACCTGAGAAACTACACCTACCCAAATATTTCTCGCAGGTTTAGATAAACTGACCACTAGTGACCTACTGAGTTCATTCTTTTGAGCTACATTACCTACAAGTACAAGGATTCAACCTCTTTGAACATTGGTAACAGTTCAGCCCTCAGTGCTGAACAGTAAATCTGGTCAGTGCTTAGCATGAGGTCATCTCTCATTGTTAACAACTGTCCTGTCTTCAACTTTTTTATTTCAATGCAAGTAACTTGTAGGCACGATATGATCCTTTGGCAAATGTTTAGGCAAAAAATTTTTAATGTTTTGTTGCAATCGGATGTCTTAATATTAGTCTGAAGATGGAATTGCCTACTTTTGTATACTTCCACATCTATTAATATCTTGGTCATTGTTTATACTGTGGTCTTGGTGACATGGTGAATCTGATCAATTTTTAAGAGTGAAAGGGGTAATGGTAAAAGGAATTTCTGGATATGATGAGTGGGTAAAAGGTGTTCAAATCAATAACACACACAACTTCTAATTTGATATTGAAGAAATTCACAAAAATGAATTTATACTCTCTAGACTTTTCCCAGTTTATTATTTTCTGTCAGAAGAACTTTAACATTAGTCAGTTTGTCCGTACACTTTTCCTGAGCACTCTGATGGCCATTATCTGGTTCTTGAGTAAGATAGTCTTGTTAGTTAATCAAGTGTTTGGATTTATTGTAATAAAATCATGTTATTTGCAGCTGATTAAAATAAGAATTTGTCTTTGGAAGCATAAGTTGAGTTTTAATGTTTATGATTTCTTTTCTTAGAAAAATCAGAAATTTATATACATTGTTTCAAAAAACGTTTCATGAATATTATTCTAAGCATTCACTGCAGTGTCCAGAAATTAGCCAATAAAAAAAGGATGTTATATGAAATACTAATTTTAGGAAACAATTTTAACCCTTTCTAGTTTCACCTTGCTTAAGAAAAAGTTGCATAATTTGGTTCACTTTTTCTATAATTTTTTACCCTTTTTGAAATGCTTAAAAAGCACACAAAATACTTTTATTAACTGATGTATTATTGTAGAAGAAAATTTCCATAGTTTAAAAACAAATACAAGTTAACATGAAAACATTTTAAGGAATAAAAAGAAAATCTAAAGAAACTATACAAAAAATTCACAGATCTGTGGTTTGTTCCTAACTATTCTGAATTTCCCATATCATTTCATTCTCTCTACACTGATGTCAATTCTTTATAACCTGCTCTATCCAGTGATAGTTAAACTTTCTCTGTAGCTGTTTTCAAAGGTGATCTTCATTACATCACATCTTGCTGTAATAATATAAATGTTGATCACAGAGAGAGAGAAACAAGACTTGGTTAATTATATTCTTAGGAAATAAAAACTTCTTATTTGGGAGAAGCAAAACAATTTGAAAAAAAAAAAATATATACATTGTTTACACTCTAGACTCTTTGGAGTAGTGCAGAAATGTTAATTTGAACTCTCTATTTTTCTTTGTAGATCACACTAAATAAATGTTCCAAAATATCAATTCCAGAATATTTTTTGAATAAACAATTGTTGAAATAATTATTCTTCTTACTTATATTTAGAAATTTGATATACAGATGTGCAATCTATGTGTGAAAAGTGCTCACTGGCTCCCAAATAAGGTTAAGAATGTTTCAGTAAGATGTTAACTGTTTGATTACTTCATTAAGTAGCTCAGCATATAAAAATTATGATACTTTTGAAGATCCAAAAATTACCATTTGGGCTGTACACATTTCTTTTTTATTTCAGTAATCACTTGTTTCCTGATAATAAAAAAAACTTTTTTGTTTGTTAATAGGCAAAAAGAAAAATCTTGGCAATGTTTCGCATCCCGTACAAGACACTGTGGATATGGAAACAACAGATAAACCTGATGATACAAAAAATGTTTAATATGATAGTGTTTGAAAATTTACATTTTAATTTATCTACTAAATTAATTACTTAAGCCAATGTTGCAAGACAGGACTATCCAGAATGATTATATGTCACATTAACACACTTGAAATCATTTTTTAAACAGTATACCAGCTTATCAAATATAACGATAAAAAATGTCACTTTTTCGGATTTAAATTTTTTTATCCCCTGTGTAAATGCCACTAATAAATCCCATGTAAGATAAATTAAACTTCTTTGGATACCTCCAATTTGTTATGTGAAATCAGAATCAAACTCGGCATAATTTCAGTTTGGGTATAATGGATCTATTTATAAATGTGTATGAAATTAAGAGATATTTCTTCATAAAAAGCAGTTCTCATTAAGAATACTTTCTACACATTTGTAAGCTTTTTGGAATCTTTACTTTTATAGTGTGAAAAAAGATACTAAAAGAAGTATTTTGTAATTGTTATGTATGTGTGTGTGTGTGTATATATATATAAACCACTATATTTTATATAAGTGGTTTTTAATTATACTATTCAACCTTAAGAATATTTTTTTCCTATTATTCAGTCTTAAACTTAATTAAAAAATATAAAATAATCAAATCTAAGTAGTTTCTTCACGAACATTATTTATAATAATCTGTTTTGAGTAACTTTATATTTTTGTTCATGTGATATGTATTGCAAACCAAATGCCAGTTACACTTTTTCAATGGATGTTTGAAAATAATCACGTGCAACTGTAACTTGTAAATATTTGTTGTATCTGTAAATATGAATGAACAAACGTGTAGTATAGACCCACATTCCCTTTTGTTAAGTTGGTAGCCAACATACTGAAGTTAATAATGACCTAACTTAACAAAATTTGGAACATATCTAGACGTTCCTCTACTAATCAGTGGATATGATTTGAGAACTTGTTAAAAAAAAAAAAACATTGGAATATTAACATTGTCTTTTGTGCCTGCTAACAAGTGTTCTGGATATGTCCATGTAGAACATATTTTATGAACCTTTAAACCGATCACTTTGTTGTTGTTTTATTAAAACAATATTTTGAAACTCGGTGTTTTTAGATTTTTTTTGCTAAAATTAACTGTTCTTTCATGGGCTATCATAATGTTAATCTTGTGACTTAACTGACAAAGTTGCCATCCTAAGTTCCCATGAGCAAATACCTTCTCAATCTTGTGTTACTGTAATTTTTTTTGGGGGGGGGCTTGTTTTGAATACAAAAATATTTTTTTAGCATAAAGCAGTAAAAGAATATATTAGTAATTTACTATTTTAACATGCATGTTATAATATAATTCTGTACATAGAGCTCAAAAGTGTATTTTAATTCCATTATTATTGTGATTCACCTTTCCCCTGTTTTTCTTGAAAATATAGTCCAATAAAATTATATTTCATACTTTTAGGCACTACGATTGAAGATTTCAATTAGCTCTCTCAACAACGAGTTGATCAAATTAACTGACCTCATAAGAGCTTCCTCACTATATGTATCTTCACAAAATTTGGCAGCATTTTTTTCTTTTAAATTAAGAAATTAAAGCATATATAATATTAAAATTTGAATTATAAACTATGTCATAATACCAATTCCATTGACATAAGTAATAACATTAAAGTTATATAATAAAATTTTGAAAATGACTAAAAGGTCATGACATGCACCCTTTAACCTGTCCGCAGCAAAAGAGTTAGCCAGAACAAACCTAGGCTTAACCATTTGCATTTTAGCAACAAAAATTACAATATAATTTTAATCTATATATTCAATGAATATACATGTACCATATAGTGAAGTTAACATTTCAACTTCCTTTTTTTGATTGCAGAACTAAAATGATCAGAATATTCCACTATAATTGAATTGGATCATTATTGGGAAAACAAATACTGTACAAGAGTCTGAAAAGCAAAATGATTCAGAAAATTAATATTCAAGGCTCACCTAAAATCAGAAATTCCAATATTTTATATAATTTTGTTAATGTTAAACTAAAATATCATATGAAGTTACAACCAGAATTGTTACTTTCACTTTTTAAATATGTCTGTGTGTGTATATATATACACACACACACACACACACAATATACAATGATAAAACATTACACTTCTATCCAAGTAGCTGGTTTGTTTTTTGGTTTTTTTTCACCATGCAAGCTATCTCAAAATATAATAGCTTGTTTACTATTAATAACATTTATAATTGGAGAGGGGGGGCATATACTACTTGCAAAGTAAGTCGTCCATTTTTAAAACTAATTTTTATGTACAATGGGTTAAAATAACATTTTTCAAAACAAATATACTATTATTAAAAAATGAAGTTAAGCACCTTAGGTTTTAATTGTATGTACATTATGGTATCTATATATATATGTAGGTTCATTAGTAATTTGTTGCACTTTCTAGTTAAAAACTTCATTCAATACCAATTTCCAAAAAAATACAATATTTTCTCAGAAGATAAAATATCAACGCTTTCTGAAGTTTTTTTTGGTTGTTTCACCAAATTGAAGCAACTTCACTTGTCATTTACAATTAATTATACAAATGACCTATTATGCCAATCCTAGGGCATGTCGTACTTTTTATGGGGCACTGGGAAAATAATAATTGCCAAATCCAGGGCAATTATTAATAAAAATGAACATAGCATAATGGGTCAAATTATGAACTTTTGCAGAAAAACTTATTCTGTAAAAAGTAAATAAACTAAGCTTTTTTGCTATCCTCAAAATTAAACCATATATAATTTACTATATAATTTAAATTACTTTGATAAAAATTGCAAAAAATATGATTGTATGGTCTGTTAAATTCTTTGAAATTTATATAACTATTTGTGGAAATACACATACACACAACAAAAAACTTAACACTACAATACTAGCGATATCCCAGCATTAAAAGCTCAAACAAGATGTGAAATAACTGCTGACATATTAGCAACAGTGAAATGTCAACATTACTGGTTATTTAAAAAGAATATTTCATCTACATTCCATTTTACCTATTAATACCTTTTTTTTTAAAAATTCATGAAGCAATCTTAAAATACCAACAAGAAAATGTCTAGGTTAAAAAATGATCAGTCTGTTATATTAAACATTTCACATACATTGTATAAGTTAAGGTTTATAACCCAGCAAGTTATAAATTGCTTTCAAATGACGGCTTCAGCTGTTTCAATAGACCGATCCTTTTCTTCTAATTCTCTGGAGAGTAATTTGTTTCTACAAGACTGTAGAAAATGATAAACAATTATAAAAAATGTAATAGTAATTGAGTTTTTTACAAAACATTATATATTTTATAATAGTCTATCTTCTCCATCTCAAGAAAGCATTAAGTCAAAAGTTAAAGAAAATGAAAAGTAGAGAAGTGTGTGTTCACCCAATTTTTAGAAGCAAAGACTGATAAAAAATGAAGAGTGAGATATGCATGTTTGTAAGGGAAGCATCATAAATATTTCAATATCAGGTTTACTATCATAAAACAGTTGATATACATTGAGATGCAATGTTCTTGCAGTTTTGTTTTTAAGGCTTAAACACTCAAAAATAGTTTACAATGTGGCACTTGAGAAGTGTCGCACCGTAAAGTATAAAATATAAACCTAAGTCATTGTATAGACTTCCTGCAATCTGTTCCTTGATGCATGTTTCACCTGCTTTATATAAAACATAAAATTCATTGTAAAAAATATGTAATAATACGTTAACTGACGAAGCCCTTCCCTCAATACCAGGGCCCATCAAATGAGTTAAGTAAATTGTAATTATTATCAATTTTTATTTATGAAACTGATATTTTACTACACATACATTTTTTTTAATCACTAATATCCTTTGTTTTTTGTTCACTTGCTTTAAACAGTGGTTCTCAAACTTTTTCATTTGCAGAGCAAAAGACGCAGTAGGCCACCTTCTGGTCTTACCCACTCGCTTTCACTTACCATCACAAACATACTCATGAGGAAGAATGGCACTGCATTCATTGTGACTTGTATATTGGACTACACTTTGAGAACCACAGATTTTAAAGCAAATCTGAAATAATCCTCTTTTTTTAAATTTAAAAATTACATTTTAACACTGAACTAGGCTCTTATATTGACAAAGCTCAATCTTATACTTCTTGATCAGGATTTAAATATTCTTCATCATGGCAAATTTATATACAAATAAACAAGTCTGAAAGTATGATTTTAAACTGTACTGAGAAGGATACTCTACAGAATATTTCTCCATTTCATTAACTCTGTTAAACTGCCAAAGTATTTGATCTACATAGATTTATATATCACCCTACATCCAAAAATAATATCAGCCTAAATGACTAAAAGTAAGAGACCTGTAAAGCTATCTCGGGCAAAAAAATCTTCATCCCAGTACCTTAGTGCATTATTAACCCACTAATAAGGTTATGATTTGATTCTAATGTTTTGTGATATGTATGTTAGTGCAATTATTTTTTTGGTTAAATACTAATGCATGCTTTGAGCCTTAGATTAAAATTCTACAAGCTGCAATTATTTTATATCTATGTAGTGAATGAGGAATGTCTGAAAAAGACTATAGCACTTTTAATTTTTCTTTGTGGTTTTTCGTTTTCAAATACAAATGCAATTATAATTAGGTTTAAGATAATATGTAGCGTTTCTTATTGCATTAAAAAATCTTGTTCACAAAATCTAAACTGACTAGCTATTTACATACAATAATTTTTGCATTGTTTTTTTTTTTTAACTAGATAAAAAATATCAACAAATTACACAAAACTTACAGCATCAGATAGCTTCAACTTATATAGTTACTTCTGTTCCAACTGGATTTGACACTGTACTTAAGAGGGTTCTTTCAGAAGGAGTTCCAGTATCCATGTTGGACCGCAATTCGGTACAAATGACTACTTTAGTTTGTGGTCCCGATACTGCAGCAATACCCGTTGGCTTGTTTTCTAAGATACGAACTGTTGAGAATTTGGCTCGGTGATAAGCAGTCAAAAAACTAAACCCAAGGAGTCTGAATACACATTAAAACCTTCATCAGTTCTGATTTATTGAATAAAATTTAGCAAGTACAGAACATTAAAATACTGTAAGAATAAACATTAAGGTAATTCAGATTCGTGTGCCCAAAACTGTAAACCTTAAAGATGATATTCTTAATGCCTTAAAATATTTAACATTCAAACTTTTTAAAGTCATAATTTGTATTACATTTTTTCACCCTTTAAAAATTCCAATCACCACAAGGTCCAAACCATCACTGTAACCACCACAATTCAGAGACTTGGTACCTAATTTTAATTCCTACTATAGCTTTTAGTTAAATATACACATAATAATTATAGTTGAAGTTACCTTACCTTATATCAAAAACATAAAGAAACACTGTTGTAGAATCAAAAAAAGCAACAATATTGCTAACTGTTAGCTAGATTAGCAACAAATTAGCTGACATAAGTAAGAATGTAGATTTGTGGATTTTATAAAACTGCATAATTTACTATACATCAGTACATATTTATTAATTTTAGACCTGTAAACTTGAAATAAATTTCAGACAGGTCATAAATCTTCATGCAAATTGTCTCCAATATGCTAAGAGACAATTCTGATTATAGTCAATAAACATATAACAAGAAGAGGGATGATATTAGTAAGTACGTTTGCTAACCTTAAGCATATACACTGAACTAGTAGTGCTACTCCTACTGTTGCTGTCCGAACGGCAACAGTGTTGAACATCTTCACCAACAGACAGGCTCCTCCAACGGTGGTACACATGAGTGCAACAACAGCAGATGTCTGCAGCCAGTGAATTTTGGTAAGTCCTCTAGGTAAGTGGAGAGTTCCACGTTCAAGCTTGTACTGGACATAAATAATTATAATAATTCAAACAAGACATTTGTCAAATAAACTTTAAAAAAAAAATCCCACTGGAAATGACAAGCAAGTCAGTATCTTGTTGATGGCATACCTACTGCTTTAAACTTTCATCTTATAAATAAGTAACATGCTCAAAACTAGTTTCAAAGTCATTACACATTAATATAATGTTTAAAACCCTCTCTCAAAACCCTTATTTCAAATAAATACCTAAAAAAAGAAAAGCCATTCAGTAAGGCAAAGTAAACAGTGAAAAAGGTACAATTAAGCTGTTCCAGCCCAACTGAATAAAATTGACTACTTCTGACCTTGCATTAATAGAAATTAACAACTCACAAATGTCACCGTATCTATAGCATACATTTCAAAAATAAAGAAACATAACCATTGGACATTTTAAAATATGAATTTTATTTTTATCAATTTGCAATTCATATTGAAATAAAAACTGTTACATAATGTGGGTTATACTACAACGTTAGGTATTAGATCCGTGACGACAAGCATGAAAGCCGCTTTACATGCATGCTCATATGGCAACAATTATATATATAGGCATAATGACTTCATGCTCTTGTCCACATAATCTAAAGCAGCATATCCCCAACTGTGTTCCGTGAAACCCTTGGGTTCCTGACAATATATCCAGGGATTCCACTAGAAAATTTTGTGTAGTCAGAGTAAAAGAGCAGGCCAGGTATAGGTATGGCTTAAAAGCTTGTCAACCCACAAATCATACCACCCTGTATTCCCTTTGTCATTGGCTATTTCACTTATGGGCCGAGCCTAATTGATTACTCACTGTAAGTTAGCTGCTAGTGATAGTCATGTGCAGTGTTTCAAGGAAACGACAAGCTCGTCTTGAGCTTGTGAATACTTCATAACATGTCGGGGCTTGCAGTATTGCTCGTATTTGTGCATTATTGGTAAATCTATTGAGGAGAACCTGCTCTTAGGTGAATCTTTGGAAACAAACACAACTGGTGAAGAAATAATCAATTGCATTAACAATTTCATGAAAAGATATGAAATTAGTTTGGAAAAATGTGTTGATGTGTGAAGTAATGGCACTATGGCAATGGTTGGGAAAACAGCAGGTGCTGTAACACAGATCAAATCTGTAACACCGGGCTGCACCAGCAGTCACTGTGATCTCCACAGACAAGCACTATCCATTAAAAAGATGCCTACATCTCTCTTAAAGATGTGCTGGGTGGGTTAATGCAAATTATCAATTCTATTAAAATTTGACTACTGAAATCCAGACTACTTAGAATTCTGTGCAAAGAAATGGGTAGTCAGCACACAGCATTGCTTCGACGCACGGAGATGAGGTGGTTTTCATGAGGCAAAGTGCTTGTGAGACTTTTGAGCTTAGTTGTGAAGTATTGGTATTTTATGTGGATCACCAATTTCGACTATCAGACTGTTTGTTAAATACATTGTAGCTTCTGAGACTTGCATATCTTGTAGATATATTTAAAAAACTAAATGAAGTGAATATGTCATTGCAAGGAAATGATGTTACCATTTTTAGTGCAAAAGACAAAATTTCATCGATATTGTGGAAACTGGCATTTTGGAATTCATGCATAGAAAACAAGAATTTTGATTGCTTTCCAACATTGAATGATTTTTTTCACTCAGATTAATTCTGTCCCTAATGAAAATGTTTTCAGTGACAGTGCACAGCATCAGCATGACTTAAATTTCATTTTGTTGGAATATTTTCCTCCATCAAATGACTACAATGAATGTGTACACTTGGACTGACTAAGTAAAGTTTTTGTAAATTCACAGAGAAATCTCCAGTAAAAATATTAATTGAAAATATGCTTTTTTGTGTGTACAACAGTCTTGTGATGTTTACTAAAAGCCTGCAAAATTTTGTGAAGATACACTTACTACACTAAAAGTTATAGCATGTATAGTTTCATGGTTAAAAAGTCAGTCGAAAAGACCCAACCCGATGTTAGAGGGTTTACCCTTTCACTGCACAATTACTTTTCAGGTTGATTCCCAAAAAGTGTCAATTATCCACCAAAAAATAATAGTATGAATTTGACCCTTTGTATTACTTTTTCAATATTGAAAGAAACTTTTCTATATCTTGACAGTAATATTCCTTGAAAACCCTATTGGATAGTGAAAAATAATAATTTAAACAAAAAAATTGAGGAAAATTAGAAGAAAAGTGTTCTCCAGTAAATGGCATAAATATAGACAAAACTAGGTTAATAAGGGACCAAAATATAAAACAAATTATTTAGATAACAATATCCAAGATATAAAGAAGCTGTCATTATACAGATTCAACATGTGTTCCTGCAAAGTTGGCCACTTTGTAATGAAAATAAAATAGAAACATTCAGGTTTCATGGCATAGAACACAAATAGCAACACGCACATAGGTTTGGTGATTGTTTCAAGTACTGAGGATATTCCCACATGTCGCAGTAAAGGGAAATGTTTTTTGGTAGCCGTGGAGTAAATCCAAATTTTGCAGTCAGTGGATATAAATGTTTATTCGGATATATCCGAACTACACGGCAAAACAGCTAAATTGTAGAGCAGTGTTGTAAAGTACAATGTTCTAATTATTTTTTCTTTATGCCATCTACACTCAGAAGCTATGAACTGTTTTACCAAATATTCTATGATGTTTTACCCCACTGACTAGATGATAACATCAAGAGAGGGGTGAAAGCTTTTCAATTGTTAAAATTGTCTTAAGTAAGTTACAAATTTTGGATTGTTAAGATTAACAAATTATAAGATTATATTATACTATTTTAAAGTTACCATGTAGCGAAAAATTGTTAATCGTATAACTCAAAATGTAATCAAACTGCTACTAGCTTAAGGTAGTACGTTTGAACGTTTCATTGTTACAAACACAATTATGATCATGATCCATTAACTGAGTAAACAAAATAACAAAAAATACACAATAAAGTACGTACATGCGAACTGTGTCTCCTATCTTATACAAATGCACTAAGATCAGCATTTCTCAAACTGGGATCCCCAAGTCATTTCTGAACTTTCATAAAAATATTTTTTTTAAATATGATTTATATAATAAAAACATTTTTTGTAAAACTAAATTTATATGAATTAAAACATTTAACTTTGGAATACAGCTTTCCAGGTACACAGAATCTTTTTTTTTTCTTCAAAACCAAAACATCATCAACAGGTTAGGGAGTGTCTGGGAAAAAAATTCTAAATTAAATGGGATCTTTGGGTTACTAAAGCTTGATAACTGCTACACTAGATGATAAATAATACTACACATTTATTAAGGATCTTATGCAATTAAGTCATAAAGAACTAGACATACCTCTTCCTTACAAACTTTACAACTCATGTTGTCTGGGTTTTCTGATGACTGAAAAAATATTTCAAAGATTCAATATCATATAATAATATAAAGATGTATTAGTAGAAGCGAATTCATACAATTCTATATCGTGTTTTATAGGAATTACAAACTAATTATATATACAGCTCAATCTACAGTTAAAAATATACACTAAAAGATAAAACACGTCAATACTAAATACAACAAATTTATTTTAATCTACAAACACAACATTATTTTATTAAGTTATCAAATAGTTTTTAGACTATAACATTACATAATCATTTTATTTAGTGACAAAGTTAGGTATGTTGATAAACTTCTAAAACTTAGTTTAAGCAAGATATATCAAAGTAGAAATCAGGAAATAAATGATAGATCAAGAAAATATTACTTGCTCTAGCCATTTCTTTAAGCAATCATGATGAACAGCAGAAACATCCCCTTTACAAAGACAAGGCTGTATCAAAGGCCCTACATCTTGTCTCTCTGAATCATAGCAGATCCAACATTCACCCGGTTTCTCCAATGAATTATTCAGAGCTGCATCAGAATAAAATCAAACATATTTAAAGTTTACTGTCGTGCTTTAAAATTAGCATAACATGTTGAATAAATCTAAAAGTTTCATACTAACACCTTTAAATCTCAAACACAAATAATTTCTTCAATACAATAATGGAAAGATAAATACTGAATAAAACACTTTTACCAAGGTTTTTAATGAAGATAATAAAAAATATGACAAAACCTGTCTTCTTTTTCTCTCTCTTAGATGCTTTTAGAGAAAATGGCATTAAAACTTTTTTTTCTCTTTGTTTTTGATAGAGTATAATATTCCTTCAAATCAGTCAAATACAAATTATTAACATATTACAAGTTTCCTGAATTAACTTTTCATTAAAAATTGAGAAAGAAAATCAATAGTTGTTCTAATCTAAACTAACACACCAATAAAGTCTTTCAAACCTTTGACAAATAGATTAGTTGTGGACTAAATTTTGCATGCATCCTATCCCTTGCAACATGCAAGCCTATATATCATTTTAATTCTTAAATACCCAGGTACATTGATTCATTGCACCCATCACATTGTCTACTTTTTAATATTCAATTAAAAAAATCAGAACTGTAACATTGGTGGAAGTTGTTCATAAAAACCTTGTCTTCTAGCAATATCTCACCTAGTTAAGCTATCAATTTGTTTCTATCTTTATGCATGTCTGTACTAATATGGAAGGTGTATTTGCTTAAACAGTTGAAAAGAGCAGCTAAAAAAAGCTTTCATTACATGTTTAGATTACTAACTTATGACTTCTCAAACCTGAAATAAAGGGAATTTACACAATACCATAACAACCAAGATTGAGAAACGGTGATTGGATAATTTGATAAAATGACAATTGTACTGACATTACAAGGTTTCTAATTGTCAGAATTTTGTTCAAAACCATTTTGAATTTCCTGCTAGAGAAAAAATTTTCAGAAACACTAATGTTTTCATTCAAAACATGTTGAAATACTCCCAAGATTTTTTTTACATCTAAAATTAAATAAGAACTTTTATTAAATACATATCAACGCTAAGGTATGAGAATAATTTTACTATTATATTTTATTTATTTTATTACTTACAACTTTTAATTGAATGGTACAATTTTGCTCCCAGGCAACAGGTGCACCCAATTGGAAAATAACGGGTTAAAGGTTATCATTATAAAGACTGCTCCATCTTATTCTATGTCTAGCTACATAACTGTTGTTGTATTTAACAGATGTCTCGATACTTTGAAAAATATTTCAAAAAAGGAACCATTAAATTACAAGTCTTAAATATCTGAATACCTATATCAAATGTATCCATATTACAAGAATAACTCTTTTAGAACTTTTAATCTAAGTAATAATATACTAGCTTATATGAACACCTGTTGTAGACCATTTCTTTGCCATGAAATGTAGTCTTGTACAGACCTTACACTAGCACCCTTCAAAATCAGATCTTGCAATTGTCATTTCTACCCACCTGCTCTAACTACTACTTCTTTCGATGAAGATACCAAAGCTTCTTCTTCAGTTGGTTGAGCTGGTTTATCAGCTTCTAATTTCATTAAAATCTTTTTGGGATTCAAGATCCACAGCTGCTCTGGACTACAATCAGAGGTAAAAAAAAATAAAATATATCTTTACAGAGTTTAATAATGATGCAATTTCACATCCACTTTGTTTAGTTAAGCTCATTAAAAACTTGCAAATCTAAACAAATAAAAGGCACTTTAAATAATAACCAGGTCTAAACAAACTAAGCAGTTTATCTGGAAAAGTACATCAGGTTTCTCCTACCTTCAGGTACACACTATGGACAGTGTTTCAAGTTGTAAAAACTGATTATCATCATATTACATTATGCCTATTGGTTAGCTGGATTCACTTTCCAATTCAAAGAGTTTTTCCAGATCAGCTTTTCAAAGTTTTAAGACCAACTTCTCACATTTAAAAAAATTCTTAAATATGGTAGCTCAGTATACAAAACCATAAATGCAACTTACTACATGTAAAATGATGAATGGAAACTTTAAAGGTCACCTTTCTTAAACCTTCTAAAAGGTAAAGATGAAAAACTGACAATTACAGAGCTGGATAGTTCAGCTGTTGCACTCAGAAAAGTAAAGTTGAGTTTTATATAAGATGATATGCAGTTTTTTTTCCAGAATATATTCAAATTTACAAGACTTCTCCAGGTTTTTCCCAGACAAGTGGACGATTAATTTATGTTTCTGTGCCATTTGTACTTCCTAATACAGATAACTTAGAACTTGTATAAAATTGAAAGCTAAATTAAAAATGGAATTTATTTACTTAAAACAATTCTATCCAAGTTAAGCATAGAATACTTATAGATAACTATTAAACAGAAGACAACTTTTAAAATTAAAGATAAAAGAAAATCAGTATTGTAAACACTGATCATTAATCCTTACCTCACACAGTTCCACAAGACACATGGAAACCACAGAGCAACACCCATTTCTACAACTCGAAAAATCACATCATGACAATTGCGACTTAAAACAGGGACCCTAAAAAATATAGAACCATTATAACTTTTGTCAGGAAATTAGAGTATACTCTAATCACACTATTTATTGTGTTGTTTCCCCCTGCTTATTTTACAGAACAAGTACCCCCTTTTTTTTTTTCCAAATACATTTCCAACTTTATCTTGGACATTCTTGAAGTTACTTACTTATCTTTCCAAGAACTCCCAAGAGTGTCTGAGATAATAAAGGCAACAGTGATGAGAAGTAACACTCCTTGAGAAACAAGCCCCACCCTGGACTGATGAAGCTGTGAAGTGTTGGTGGGTGTTGTCGAATTCTGAACAAACCCTCCTCGAAGCTAGTTTTAAAAAAATTTGTATATAAAATATCGATTTTTTAAATTTGTGACTTAACTGATGGACTTTTATTGCTCTTTTTTTTTTCACAAAAATTGACTTATTACCTCTAATACAACATTTTAATGTAATATTTTAAATATCACTAAAATTCATCTCTTTCCTTACATAAAACCAGGGATGGATTAAGGTGAGGACTATTGGAGCTGTAGCAAGGCTAGACCTAGTCACAATTATTAAATGATAGGCCTCAGCCAATCAAATTCTCTTCACTCCACATTTTCATGACACTGTCAGTCAGGCTTCTCCCTCTTGGCTTGTGCCCAACACACAGTTTCTTATTTTATGATCAAGCAGTAAGCCTAGAATATGACTTGACATAAGTTCCTAGGCTAGATTGAAGCTATCTATACCTTTCGATTCTTCGTTCTCAAAGGCTTTGGAATTTGTTCAAGAAAAGAGCTCAATCATCTCTAACAAGGTAGGTAACAGTACTTTAAGCTTTTAGGATATATTGTATCAACTGTTTGTGTTTCTTGAACAGAGCTTGCAAATTGTTATCCCATAAAAAAAATACATAATTACTTGTAGGCTTACATTGGCCCATTTAACAGCTGTAAACAAATTGTTGACAACTTAATAAGTATTGTTAAGTCATTCAAGTACAAAAATCTTATAATTTTGAGTTAAGTACAGAAAATGATATGCAATCATTTATTACAAAATTATTAGTGGCATCTCTCTCTCACACACACATAAATACAAACAAGCACTAAAACACACAAGTATGCTTGTACATGCACACACATTAGTCATTAAGTGTTCATCCTATCTATTATACGGACAAACAAACCCAAGAGCAGTTGGGAAAAGCTACAGTCAAAGAAAAAGGAAGAAAAACGTTAGATAAAACTAGGAAGCTAACAGATTTATGGGCTTCATCCTTTAGTGTCGAAACCCTCACCAGCCAAAACAGTGGAAACAATAATTTATACACTAAATCTTTGAATGCTGATGACCATCAACATCATTATATCAAATTGAGCCCTTGTCCTCAATCAGAAAGTGACTAAAATATAACTGCTAACCAAGAATGTGAAAACAATCACATACAGACTACAACTCTAGATGTTGATGGCCGCCAACTTCATCAGATTGAATCGAGCCCCTACCAAAAGGAAGAAATCAATTATTGCAATGGAAATGAAGATACTAACCCATCTTTTACATTCAACACTGGGATATGGACACGAGTTTCTGAACAAAATGAGAGATTTGGTTTGTGTGTCGAGGATTACTGATTACCTCTTGTCAGTACATGGATGTGGATTTCAGAGCATCTACAAAGTCTATCCCAGGTTACAAGTATAAATGCCAATGCTCAAAGACTTTTTTTATTGCAAGCAACTGAATGGAAAATATGTTAAGAGAGACTAGCTTTCCTACTCGCCATTGATAGGAAACGTCTTCTGCATTACGTGCGAATGGTTTTCAACAGCAATGGAAACGTCTGCATTATATGCAAATTGTTTTCAACAGTAATGGAAACTTCTTTGCTAGCAACAACTGGTTGCTCTGACTGGAAACATGCTGCAAGAGACTTTAGTTGGCATGAAACAAGCTTACTGCATCAAATTTGTATCATCAAATTTATTATTTCTAAAACCAAAAGCAGACGAACCAACAAGAATTTAACATAGCAAATGGAGTCAGAGAAAAAATACTGACACCAAGTACTGGAGCATATTCTCTCAATCATAAAGTTTCTTTCATCCAGATGAAGCAATGAAGTAGTTGGTTCAGTGCATAAAGGCAATTACTTAGAAATACTGGAGCTATGGGCTGAGTATGATACATTTCTTGCAGAACACATTCAGAAACACACAAATAAGGAAAAAATATTATGTTTCATACTTATCCTCAACTGTATGTGATGAATTCATAGAAATCCTACACAAAGAAGTTCTAACAACCATTATCCAGGAAATCAGAACATCCAAGTATTACTCAGCATCTGTTGATTCTACTCCAGACATATCTCACATGGATCAACTGACAATAATCTTTAAATGTTCTAGATGATGGACCTGTAGAGATATTTGCCACATTCTTACAAACAGATAGTCACACAGAAGTTCTCATTAATTTCCTTGAAAACAATGATATAAGAATTCAAGATTGCCATTAGCAGTCTTACGACAATGCATCCAATATAAGTGGCAAATATTGGCATGCAAGCCTTGATCAAAGAGAAGAACCCCCCTAGTAGACTTTGTTCCCTGTTGTACTGAAGCTTGTTTATTCTTTGTCTTTGTGCAGAAGCTTTGTGTTTTTCTCAGCTTCAACCTGCCTGTGGAAGTGCCTACAGAATGCACTAAAAAAAAACAGTGTTCCTAACGATAAAAAGGTTATCAGACATAAGATGAAGCACCCATTCAGATGCAATTTGAGCCTTAAAAATGGGGTAAAAAGCCATAATGCAAGTCCTCACTTCCATTATAGACAATGATTCTGAAATGCCTCAAGTACACTTACAGTCATTTGTGGTAGAATTGGAACAACTAGAAACAGGTATAATGACTGAATTATGGACCATTATCCTGGAGAGGTTTCACAAGACAAGTCATTCATTATGAAACTTCAAAATGGATGTGAGTACAGCTCCTCATCTGCTAAAATCTCTCTAGACATTCATGCAGAATTACAAGATTCATTTCCCAAATATAAGGAAAAGCATAAACAACTGTCAGGATGCGAGACATATGAGGTCAAAAAATCAAGGAAAAGGAAGAGAAACATGCAAAGGGATGAAGGAGATGCTGAGGATAGTTATTTTTCACCCTCTATTCAATATAAAGTTCAGACTTTCTTAACAATAATTGACAAATTATCACTTGCACTAGGCAATAGAATAGTGGCATATGAAAATGTCAGTTGCAAATTTGGTTTCTATGAAACTTAGCATCCATGCCTACAGAAAGCCTCTGCAATTCCACCAAAAAACTGATTAGGATGGACTGATCCTACAGGCTTGGAGAGTTACATAAAGGATGAACTTGTTCAATTTGCCACCCTCTGCAAGGTATGGTTCATTGAAACACCATCAGAATCCAAAGAACAAAGTATGCTGAGAATGATATGCAACCAATCACTGAAATCAACTTTCCCAAACATTCTGATTATCTTAAGGATGTACCCATACTTCATGTCAAACAATTGCTTGGGAGAAAGATCATTCTCGATGCTAAAAAGAATAAAGAACACACTTCGATCAATAATGTGACAAGATATGCCAAATGCACTGGCACTTTTGTGCATAGAAAATGTCTTGTTTAGAATCATTTGACACCAAACAGATCATAAATGGTTTTGCTACAAAAAAAGAGCTAGGAAGACAGTCCTTTAACCAAATACAGATGACAGGATCTGCTGGGCATTTTATGTAAGTACCAGTGTGATCTAAGCATGTGTGTGTGTGTGTTTATGCATTTGTTTGTTTGTATGTGCATGTAAATGCACGAGTTGTTGAGTTTATGCACATGTGATTTCTTTCTGTCAATATGCTTTGTTATCAGAGTGCAAATTTTGTCTGTGTTAGAACACCACTTTTACTATTCAAGAAACATGTCTTATAAATCTGTGGGTAATTTTTCCCATTGTCTCCAAAAGTAAAAAGTATCTTGAGGTTTAGCTTTTACCTTAGTCTTTAGTCACGATCATAACAGGCCCAGTAGAAAAACTTAGCTCCAGGCTAGTCTGACCCTTAATCTGCCCCTGTATGACACAGTTATTCAAAAGTATTAGGAATCAACAGAAATGACACTAAAATCAAATTAAATTAAAACTATTCACTTCATTTAGAAAAGTAAGAGAAGAATCTTCATGTTACCTGAAAGTACATAAGTGTTCCATACACAAGAAAAAATATGACCACGATGAGCATGAGACCTGCATAAAGTCCATTGAACACGCCTGTGAAAAAATTCTGCAAGTACAGAGAACATGAAAACAGAGAAAAATTAGTGTTCATCATAATTTGTTGTCATTACTATTAAAGGAGCTTTTGTAGTTTTAAAACATGCAACAATGTTTAGGATAAGACAATTTGAGATCTACAATACTATTATAGCATCACATTGTGAGCTAATCAGAGTTTTCAGTAAATATACTACGTGACAGTAAAAAGTCTTACTGGTAAGCTAATGATGTTTTTAACTTTATCTTAATATTGCAGCATTACTCAATTACACACTTCCTAAATAAAGATTTTCTTATCTGGCAATTGTCCAACTAATCCTGAAAATTGTTTATGGTCAATCAGATAGAAAGCAAGGATCAAAAAATGAAAAATCTAGCCCTTTTTCATTGTTAATGTCACACCTGAGACACTATATTCTATAAAGAATGAGGACCATGAGATGATGTTAATTCTTACCTTTTCACTCTCACTTCGATCTTCTAGCTGAAGCAAGACCAGTTCAGTCATGAGTAAAGAATATGTAATGATGTTGAAAGCTAGGAAGCCAAAGAAAGATTTACTGAGAAAAGAAGGCCTATCCAAAGTTTTGTCCTGCAAGTGGAATACCTACCAAAAAACATGTAATAAATTTTTTCTTTACTGATATAAAGTAAATGGTAAATCCTTTTCACATACACATTCATGAATTTCTTAACTCTCTCACAACAGGTAGGTCAAAGTGACCTTTTAAAGAGTTACATTCAAAAGTTAATTAAAATACTTTATTAACAATATATATGGATAAATTAGGCAACAAAATGTAGTTAATAAATCAACTTTTAATATTATTTTAAATAATTATATTAATATTAATATTTAATATTATTTTTTTAATATTATTATATAAGTTCTATGTTCTTAATTTTATAATGAAATATTTAAAAAACTCTCAATCTCCCTTAGTATGAGAATTATGACATTTGTTCTCTAGATTCCCCTTCACTAATCTATTTACAACCCCTTCCTGAAATATGGAATTTACTATAAATTAATCATTATAATACAGATATTACTAAGACAAAGCCTAATGTTTCTAACCTTCTTTCATATTTGTTTACATAGTCATAAACTAGAAAATTAGACCCTCTTGCCATGCCCACCTGTTACATCCTCTTTCTCACAAATTGCCAATAATTCCTTCTGACATTTTATATTACATCATTTATAACCAATACAAAGGCAAAGTTTTAGTCTACTGAATGATGTATAATTCTACATTGTTTTCAGTATAGAGTATTATCAATTTCTTCTTTAGTTTGAAAGTTTATCTCATGGTATTCAGATCACGCAGCTAAGGGAATTAATTTAAGTCCCTCTGTTTAATGTCCTATTAAATTACAAAATTTATAGGACATTATTTCTTTGTATGTATTATTATGCTGTGTTCTTAAGGTATATTATTTAAGTAAATAAAAATTATCTAATGTACTAGTACCATCATTATAAAAAAAAGTAGGCTTAGATTTCATTGGCAACTAACAGCAAAAAAACAGAGATAAAATGTAATTACCATATTTCTTGTTTTTTCATTTATTTTTTTATTGTAGAAGTAACTAAAAATGTAAAAATTAGAAACTTAAGGTTATATTAGGTAAGGTAATGAAAAATAATAATAATAATCAAAATTCTTAATGAGGTATGCTCACAAGCAGCTCAAACATTACATCATTTAACCCTTTCCAGACGGGTCACAGGTGAAATGCCATGTCATTGCATTTTTTGACTCACATTCAAAATCTTATTAAACTAATATTTCACGAATTTATGTCAATAAGTTTGGTATCAAACTGTAGATTACAGTTCAAATTTTAGTAATATATATTACTCAATTTCTTAATTTAAAAGTAAATATTAAAAAAACACAGTTAAACATCAATTTTTGTGTGTCACATGATATGCTGAATGCAGCACTGGTTCAAATTAGATGTTTGTGATGTCAAAATACTAAGTCTATAGTTTCATACAAATTAGGAACTAAAATTACCAATATTCACAAGCTAGAATATAAAATAAGAACCTCGTATCTTTTCTATTTGCTAAGATATTGCTCATATAATAAATCAAACAGTGTTTGGATGCCATCTCTTTCTTTCAAACCAAGATTTCAAGGAAGTAGACTGTGTCTTTAGTCTGCTCGAAATTTCATATTTTTTAGACTAAAATACAGCTTAGTTACTAAGCT